TCAGCATTGCACTTTGACTACCTTGGGGGGAAAACGCCTACGCATTTCACTAAATATCTATCGCAACAGTATATGCTTTCGTTATCAAACTCATTCTGCCTAACGACTCCATTTTCAGGGGTTATTAGTTTCATATATATATATATATATATATGCGTGTGTGTGTGTGTCTCAGGGTCACAGTTTGATGTAGGAGAGAAGACTCACTTTTCGGATAAACGAACTTAAAAATGGTTGTACCGATATTAAAAATAACGCATCACCCCGGACAGTAGTACCACTGTCTTGTCACTGGCCACCTCAACTTCCGGGGCCAGGCTGCCGGTTATCGTTCAACTCATTATGGAAGACAGGAAGAGACAAATTTAGAGTATCACCTGGTTTCGCATTCATTTTCCATTGAACGTCGAGTCAGTGACTTATTCCATATCTGGAGGCTGTATCCTTTTTCGGTCATTGGCAGTCGGCGTCGGCAGAAATAGTTTTTGACGGTTATTGTACCCACGTCAGAGCTATGTTTTTCTTTATGTTTTGTTGGTCAGTTGAGTTCATGGTGTATACGTAACTTCTGATACCATGTGCAGTGATTGTTCTTGCTATGTGTTCCCTAGTCTGTCAATTTTCTAAGCCTTTTCCTCTAGTTTTATCGCACATGTGAGTTTACTGCGTAAGCACAGCGTCATCAACACACTACCGTACCTCCTATACTGTATAACCGGTTTTAGGTAATCAACAACACCCAAATGTGGTGTGTCGCCCGATTGGCCGACGAATCACAACTGGCCAATGATGCCGCCGGGGCAAAGAAGGATGTGCGTCTCGGGGCGTTCGATGTGATTCGCAAAGTGTTCTCTCCAGATGTGATCGGTCAGCATGGCCGTGCGGCCACAGTAAACGAGTGTCTGGATCTATTCTTCCAGGACTACAGTATCGTGCCCCTATTCGTTCAGGAGAACTATTTGAATGTAAAACCCAAATCTGCTCAGTAAGTTCTCTGTGATTTTTTGCCATCTGTTTCAGATAATCAAAGCAGTCAGTGCTTGTTCGCATGACAACTGCTTTTGGCCACCTTTTTGTTTGAGGTGTATGCATTTAGTATTATATTTCACGCGTGTCAGAGTTCAGACTGTGCTAATCCCAGTTGTTTACTTTTCGTCCTATCACCTTGGTGGTGGTGGTGGTGCTGGGACACCACGTAAAGTCAGAATGTTTTACTTCTTCAGCGTGTGAAGTGGCCACTTCACAGGCACTGATGATGTCACCTCGGCTGGTGATGAAACGTTTGCAAACAAATTGCCAAGCTCGGCGAACAGGCGAAATAGAATACTTCGTCCTATAGAAGCTTTTCTTGAGGTGAAACGTGTGTTTGTGGGAGGGGCTGTTCCCAACCGAAGAAAACCACCACGAATATGCAGATCAGTGGCCATCTTATTTGGAGGCTTTAGTGGTACATTGAATTGTACCACTACGCTTTGTTTGCGATGACTGTCAATATTGTCGTTATTATTAACTATCCTGAACCAGTTACGTTGCTAACACGGATAAGATGGTCTTCATGATCGTAGGAAAACCTCGTGTTGCTATGGCCATCATCTACTAAAGCAATCGAAATCAAAATTGAACCATGCCGTATCTAATAGAGTGGAGGTAGTGTGATGTCAGGTCAATGCGGAGCTGCCAACGTAGTTCCTACTGTACGCTTGTTCTATCGACTAATCGGACAATATCATATGAATTTGTCCGTCATCCAGCTAGTATAACTGCAAATTCTCATTCTTTCACAGGGGAAATCCGAATCGAAATCTTAGACTTTTAGCGGAAGCGTCAAAGAACATCGCTCTGGGAGATGTTGTGAGCAATGCAATTCGATCAGCGGGAACCGGTTCGTGGTCCCTGCTTCCGACTCAAGGGATCCTCAGCACAGTGATTCCCGGTCACATTCTGTGCGGAAACCTGCCCGGTGGAGTTGGACCAAATGGTGGTATCTCATTTCCAACATGGCTTGGAAAGAATAGCAATTACAACCGGATGCGGCGTGTCAGTGCAGAATTGTCTTCGCATTTAAACCTGGCCACACACGGTGGCTCATCCAATCCGCGCCATTTGGTCATGGATTATGCTCCGATCCTGGCGGATAGCCTGACGAGGCCGCTTAAAGAAGGTAAGCTGCGATTCGAAGATCCTTTGTACACACATGTCTTAGATACCCTAGCTTGATGTACAAGAGACGAGAGAATTCCTCAGTCAAGAGGACTGAATATGGTAACCGGTTATCCTAGCCGCGGGACTTGGAGTAGCGAAATATATCAGACTGCATTGAGACGAGTGTGATTTTTAACCACACAGCAGAGGACCAGTTTGCCATCTAAGTCAAGTGGTAAGGTCACGGTTCGAATCTCTCATCTTAGGACCCATCGAACACCAGGGATTGTGATCTCACCCTCTCGACCACCGCCACCACCTTGAACATACATACAATCGTATTTACACTTCGAATTATGATAAGTAGTCGAATGATCCATCCTAGTGTATCACACATTTGGGGGGAAACATTTCAGCTTTTGAATAGGGAACAGTTAAATATACCTGATCTTTGTTTCAACCATTTGAATTGGGCGGATGTTGTAAAAGCAAATTAAAAACCAGCAAGTTCCATCCTCATAGTTCTGGTCAGTCACATTTACTATCTTCTTCCTCTGTGAATAATATCTAACTGTTCGGAAGACTTGTGGGACCTTAAAACACTGGCACAGTTTTGTTTGGAGCCAAAAACACACCAAAAGCACAAGCAAATGAAATTACAACGTAAATTTGTAAAACTCCATCACACCTTGTTTTATGTTACACTTATTCAAATGGGAACAACAGTCCGCTCCTCTTGTTTCGACCTCACATCATGACTGTTCAATCTTTCGCCATGTACTGTTCAACTGCTAAAGAGCTATCAGTGTAATGCGAACGTATTTCGGGTTCTCGCAGCGCAACGGAGTGAGCAGATGTGTCCCTATTCTCGCAGCTGGAGACGATAGGAGGCTTTGCGAGGGACGAACGACGGTATGGCGGCGATACGACTGGGGTACGGGGTAATGAGGAATCAGTGGTAGACAGATCCTCCTTGGGTCGGGGTTAAAGATAAACCTGGAAGGCAAAGCAAATAAAACGCCGTGAACCAAAAATTTCCAGTAAGATGCAAGCACTCAGGATAAAATATTACTAGCGCGGTTGCCAAGCCTCACATCGGTGTGCGTCAAGCGATACCGTACGATTTTTTTTATTACACACCTAAGTGTGGTAAACAGTAGACGGGGCGAACCCCATAGTCACGAAACCTGTTGGTCAGTGGTCAGCGGCAACCTAAGCCCCGAGACTTGGAGTGGCGAAACACATAAGGCCTCAATAGGTTTGGCGTGGTATTGAACCGGACGACAGCAAGGCTGCCTACCACCAAAGTTGGGTGGCGGTGGCGGGGCTCGAAACTCGGAC